ATACAGACTCTATTATCAGAGTAAGGTCACATACCAAGTAAGGTCACAGGCAAAGATTACCTATTTCAAAAATACTAGAATGATAACTAAGGTTAGAAATGACTTATATTTGTATTGATCCACTTTTTAAGTTGTTTCAAATTTCTGATTTTATTCGTTCTTACAACATTCCTAGGAGACAGTGTTTTTCCATTATGAACAGCATCCTTCTTATTTGATAGCTAAAGAAATGGAGGCACATAAAGGGAAAAGAAAATCATACCAAGACTCCTTAGGAACTAAGTCAAATACTAATATGGGAGTTTTACTATATGTTACAGCCAGAGATGTTGTATATAGTTATAATTCAGCTAAATTTTTCTACATTATAAGCAAGCCTGCTCCATTTTAAGGGATGGATTTGAGGGGGCTGTTGTTTTTAATACAATTTTGTTTTGTTTGATGCTTATGTGTTTAATCATTATTGCTGCTGGCTATTGTTCCTTTTCTTGTATTTTAATACTTTAATCAATGGGAATTTTATTGGTGCTTGTATCCTGAGGCTGTTGAAAGTGGAGGGTGCAATTTTATAAATATACAATTGAAATAAGAAAAAAACAAAACAGATGGGCATAGAGACCATGTGGATAATAACTGATAAAGCCCTTCAGGAGCTAAAGAGGTAGAGCTCTTCCCAGATGAGTATTTGCATTACAATCCCTGAATTAAAGAAGTTCCTAGCTTCTGTTCATTGCACTTTCTCACCTAAAATTTCTCTCTTGCCTTTTCAAAAATCATTTCAAGTCCAAAATTCTATATGAGGCATTAACCTAAATCATGATGTCTTTAATTGAATCTCTTGACTACTTTTTGCAAATATAAGCTGTAGGCTCTATTTTTGTAACTGATTATAGTAAACGTAGTACCTAACTGTATGCTAGCTGATAGTTTTGCTCTGTTTGTTTTATATCCAATTATACATTATATTCTTTATATATGTTTGTCCCCTCTTATCCAAATGGATTTCGGAATCCTGACAGTAGATATCATGCAGGTGAACCTTTCATACATCCCTCAGGAAGTAGCATAGCGCAATGTCCATAACTACTTGAAAAATACCTGTGCAATTAATTGACAACCTGTGTATAAAGCTAATGTTATAAAAAGTGTAAATTATTCATTTACCATTGAATTTATTTTTCTCTTTCATTTCATTTTTCATGTGATAATCCCAAGCAAATTAAGAAATTTATCACTGTCCCATCTATTACCACAGGATAGAGGGCTGAAGAGATGCTGGAGAAAAATATCTCCAAAATTTAATTACATCAGATACTGAAATATATTTGGAAGAGTACTATAATTTTCTCACCTATATCTTAAAATTAAAATGTAGGAAAGACTATTAACTTTATAAATTTTTGTTTTCAACTGCTAGGAGGAAAAAGAGACTTACTTAATCTCTTAGGACTCTTTAATGATAAGGGTTATCTGATTTTCTCATAATGATTACATTAATGGAGGTGGACAGATAAAACGTTTGATGGAGCTGACCTTCTCAAGAAGAAGGAAGTTTCCACCCTCTTCCAATCGTGCTGAAACTTGCATTTCTTTTAATGACTCCACTTAGAGCAGCAGGAAGCAAAGTGATCATCACCAGCAGGTACTTAGACAAGAGTGAGAGGTTGGATGTGGACTGCTCTATTAAAACATCCCTGTCTAAACAGGGCTTCCTGGAGCTTAAGTGCCCATTGCTGCAGAAGCCAGGATCCCATCTGTGAGTGCACAGCAAAGCTCACAGCTCTGTCTAATGAGAGGAACTGCATCAAGGAGACATCCTTAAATAGGCGAAAGATCCATGGCATCTAATGGACAATTAGTTAACTTCATTCTTCAGAGTTTTTAAGCATCTGACAAATGGAGAAATAAAGAAAAACACTCTGAGTGAAACACTGAAGGAAATTAAAAGCAGTCTAATAGGAAATGACTTCCAGATTTTAAATATTTTCAGCATTATTCTCTCTTAAAGTAAAACAACTAGTGGTTATGCAGTCTATATTTTTACCTTTGTTTCAAATTGTTAAGACTGTGGCTGGAACATATGCTGGTCCATTTTTTTGAAATGCATGTTGAAATTAGTGAGCATATTCCAAACATTGCCAAATTTAATTAAATGACATTCAAAAATATTCAATCCAAAATATATCTTAAGATAAAGTGTTTAATTTTGTTATTAAACAGATGATGAAACCAAGTCCCCAAAAAGATAAGTGGTTTTTCTTGGGAAGTCATGTTCTAAAATACAGGATTGGCAATTTTTGAGTTTAGTATTTTGTTTCTCTATCACACTGTTCGATTGAGGAGTGTAAGGAAGCCACATATAATGATAATCATCATAAATTTAGCTCATATAAATTCATGTATATTACTTTTAGGTAGAATATTACTGACGAGTTCTAATATCTTGCTAAACACTGGACTAGGTTACTTTGAAGGCTATGAAAAATGTCATGTATATTCACTTTGAAAGAATCTACATCTAGTTGGGAGGGAAAGACTCAGATGCAGAACAATAGAATGCAATGCATAAAGAAGGACCAAAATATATGCATGAGTAATAAGTGCTCTCAGTGGCCAAGAAAGGGAGATATGACCTTGAGCTATCCCAAATGGAAAGAATATGGAAGTAAGAAGCAAGGAAAGCTCTCTCTAAATGGTTAATCAGCACTTGAGAGTACAAAAGAACTAAAAAATGCCTGCCATTGATTGCAAAATTGGGATTTATGGGTGTGTGGCATTTAACTGACTGATTTAATAATCAAATTTTTTTTTAAATGTGTCTTTGTTTGGGGGATAGTAGTAGAGTTACTTTTCTTACTTCCAGAGTTTATATTTGATTCACTTAATACAACAGTAAGTACAATGGAAGTCATTAGTTAATGCTAACAGCAAAAACAGTAGCAACACTATTTTTCTATCCATTATGTTCTAGAGACCTTAACACAACCCCATGAGATGGGAACATTTATTTTTTCCCACATTATAAATGAGGAAATGGAGAAACAGAAAAAAAGCTGATTGATTCCAACCGTATGTGGCTCAAAACTGCAGGCTTTTAACTGCGAAAGTCATATTTTTTAAATTCACAAATGTTATTAAAATATATATTGTTTAAAAAGTTAAAATTAAAGCATTAAAATACAAATGTGTCTCTCAACATCATATGAACTTTTTTCAATAAAAGCAGGACTGATTCCAAAATAAGTCAAATTTTTCCCAAGATGTCCAGATTATAATACAAACATAGATTTTACGCCATTAGTGTCTCCTTTCAGCTCAGTCCCAAAGGTGGATATTGATGGCGGCTGCTCCTGAATTGGAGATGTGAATAAGGCCTGGAGAACAGTGTCTGTCATTAAAAAGTTGCCATCTGTCTTTTTTTGATATCTACTATGCTGTAGTAAGTCATAGTATTTCTCTATCCTTTCAATGACAGCTCATGGTAAGATAAACTCACCATGATAAGATAAATGGCAACTTTTTAATGAAAACCACTATGTTTGAGCTGCTTGGTTAGGTTACAGTTCCTCAAAGTGCATCTCATACCTTATTCCCTAATATCAAAACCAATGACCTATTCTTCAAAGGATTTTCTTTTCAGTTCTGTAACCTACGTGATTTACAAAGTCCTCCCCCCACCTTTTTTTTTAATATCCTCTCAGAATGAGACCTTGAGTGACCCTGTAACCTTAACTTCTTACAGCAAAAGTTTTGGATGTACTTGTTTAGAAGACAAAGACAATTTTTTTCCCCTATTTTTAAGATTATGTTTGAGTAAGATTGGCTAAATAGGTGAAATGAGCCTTTTTTCTTTTTTTTTTTTTTCTTTTTGAATAGAGTTTTTTGCTCTTGTCGCCAAGGCTGGAGCATGATCTTGGCTCATTGCAACCTCTGCCTCCTGGGTTCAAGTGATTCTCCTGCCTTAGCCTTCTGAGTAGCTGAGTAGCTGGTATTACTCTATCCTTTCAATGGCAGCTCATGGTAAGCTCATGGTGGCGCTCACCACCACACCTGGCTGGTTTTTTGTATTTTTAGTAGAGATGGGGTTTCACCACATTGGTCAGGCTGGTCTTGAACTCCTGACCTCAGGTGATTCAGCCACCTCAGTCTCTCAAAGTGCTGGTGTAACAGGCATGAGCCACCATGCCTGACCAAAATGAGCAATTTTTACTTATTGGATTATTTGCTTCCCCATGAAAATAAAAGTACTTTAAAACATGGTAAGACTTAGATCTAGAACTGTTTGTAATTGATCACAGCTGTACTATAACTGTCTAGTTGGAGACTTCTGCAAGTTTCTGCCTACCTACCTGTCAGATGGGGGTGTGCAGCACTACTTGGTTGGGGTGAACCTGGTGATATGGTTTGGCTCTGTGTCCTCACCCAAAATCTCACATTGAATTGTCATCCCCACAATCCCCATGTGTCAAGGGTGGGACCAAGTAGGGGTAATTGAATCATAGGAGTGGTTTCCCCCATGCTTTTACTCATGATAACGAGTGAGTCTCATGAGGTCTGATGGTTTTATAAGCATCTGGCATTTCCCCTGCTGACAATCATTCTCTCTCTTGCAGCTGTGTAAAGAGGTGCCTTCACCATGATTTTAAGTTTCCTGAGGCTTCCCCAGCCAAGCAGAACTGTGAGTCAATTAAACCTCTTTTCTTTATAAATGGCTCAGTCTCAGGAATTTATTCACAGCAGCTTGAGAATTGACTAATACATGTGGTATCGATGCCGCAGTAGTGTGAGGTGCAGACTTGCCACTGAGATGCTCTCTTCAGGTCTTTTCTTATTGCTGCTGGAGCACCTTAATATTTTTCAGATTAAAAGACAAAAAATAACTTCATACAACAGTTATGGGACCTTATACAGCAGTTGAAATAGTTTGTAGAACAATATTTCTATAGTAACACATTAAGCAAAATTATCAGTAAAGCTGAAAATACACATTTTACTTCTGACTATCAAAACACATTTCTAAAATTCCCAATACTCTTGCTTATCTTAAATAGATTAGTCAAGGATCAAAACAAAATGCCTCCTCACTATAAATTTCACAAGGTCTCAGGGTCATTATTTTGAAAAGATTTCATGGAATTAGATTTATTTTTAAGCATTTTATGAATTACTATAGAGATATCTGTTGCCTTTTATGACTTTTTCCCTAACATTTAGATGTTTTGTTTAAATCAGACTATGAGTGTATCTACATTTTTATGCTTAATTTGGAGTTTTGATTAAGCTAAGTTTTGTTATGTTGGGTTTACTAAGAAAATTCTTTTCATAGTAAGTGAGTGACGGTGATAACTATAGTCATTCAGTAATTATTCATTGAGTATCTATCATATACAATCACTAATCTGAATAATGGAAAGTCAATGTCAAATAAGAGAAAATTCTGCCACCATGGCAAGAGCCATTATAATTGGGATTTGTGGGGAATTTAACAACAATAATTCCTATGAGTTTAGAGAGCAGTTTTGTCATAAAATAATAAAGTCAAATATAATATCAAGTGGTATGAAAGAGTAATTGGATGATTTGCTCTACAATCAGTGGTGGTGCCATTTACATTAATACCTAATGATGGGAAGGGATCCAAGAAGTGTAATTCCAGACAGAGGGACTAAGAGGTGCAAATGGCGATGAGTCTCACAGTTATCAGAGTAGGAAACAATGTTTGTTTTTGAGCTAGAACATTGCTGATGAGAGGCCAAGTATTAGGAAATTATACTGGAGAAGTAGGCAAGGGTGAATCATACATGGCCATGAAAACCATGGCAAGAAGTTTGGATTTATTCTCTGCATGATTGGAAACCACAGAATAATTTTAAGCATGGAAATAGTATGATCTTAAGTAAAATAAAATTACCCTGGCTGTTATGTGTTGAATGGACCACACAGGTGAAACAGTAGACCCAGAAAACAAAGAAAAGTCTATCTCACTAGTATCTGAACAATAATGGTGATTTACTCAGAGGTGAAGGTGCTGGATATGGAAGCAACTAGTGAATATAATGAACATTCAGAAGCCAGTATCAACCACATTTGCTGATGGAAAGGCAATGGGAAGAGTAGTGTGAACAAAGAGAAGAGCTGAGGAAGACACTATATTTTAGGCCTGAGCAACTGCTTGCAATGGAAATGTGTAGAGAAGAGGAGGTGTATTTGAAGACAGTATCTTTCTGTCTGTTTATTCATTTACTTGCAGTGAAGTTTGAGATGCTTGAATAGTCATCCAAAAAATGGTATGTAGGCAATTGGATATCTGAATATATAGTGCAGAGGAGAGCTCACGATCAGCAGCAGAAATTTGTATATCAGAAGCAGGTTTTGGCAGTTAAATGATATGGATTGGCTCAGTTCACCTGGGGAATGTATATAGATAAAGAGCATTTTGAGGTCACAATGAGAAAGTGGCACAAGTAAAACTGACTAAGACAGAAGAGTCAGTGGAGTGGAAGGAGAACCAGATGAATGTGGTTTCAAAAAGTCTGAAATCAATATTTCAGACATAAAAGAGTAGCCTGTTCTGTAAAATGACATGAGAAAGCTGAGTGAAAAGACGGACCATGACTTTTGGATTTTGCAAGCAGTTGCTTTTACACAACAGACACACATGCGCGCACACACACACACACACACACACACACACACATACATGCATATTATATATATATATATATATTTTTTTTTTTAAATCATGAGTTTACATAACAGTACTTGCTGCATGATTCCAGTTATGAAGTAGTCAAACACCAATTTCTTACATGGTTGATAAATGAAATCACTTGGGTAATATTACTTCCTGCTATATTCATGCCTGTAATTGTAATTTAACAGATTTAAAGGACAGAAACTGATCACCTCTATAAGTTATTTAAAATAGATAACTTGTTTTTCAAGTGAATAAACCTACTGGAATGACCTTATAAATCTTTTCTAGTAATGATATTTTTATTGATGGAAAAAGTAAACAAAGCGAAACTTATGTATAGGGACAAATAACAATATTTGTCTCTTTCCCAAATAGTATAAACCTTGCTAAGTGTTCTTACAACAAAAACAATTTTTAAAAGGCATAAGGAAACCTTTAGAGGTGATGAATATGTCTATTACTTTCATTATGATGATGATTTATTGGGTGTATGGATGTATCTACATTCATCAAATTGTATATATTAAATATGTGCATTTTTTAAATAGCTATACCTCAATAAAGCCATTTTTTTAAAAAACAAGAAAACAAAAACTTTATGCCTTTGTGATAAAATGAGTAAGAAAGTAGGCCCTATTTCAGGGATTTTTGTTTACTTTTGTGTCATATCATTGCATGTTTTTTTAAAGGAGAGTCCTTAGTACTTTACTTTTATCTTTTTTAAGTTACATATTTTAATTTATTTTTCATAAGCATTATATGAACTTGAGTTTCAGTAATTGTGACAAATCAAATTGTATCCTCTTCCTCAATGGTGACAGTGCCCTACAGAGATAGGGCACGTGAAAGCCACTGAAGGGATAGGGATGGGTGTCAAACATTGGTATTCCATAGCACTATATAGCACTATTTGTGGAGTTTCTTACAAAATTCCGATTTTGGGGATTACCCCCTGAGATACAGATTCAGTAATTTCAGAAAAATTTCTGTAATTACTGATTCGGTAATTGTTAAAAACCAGGGATCTGCCTTCTAACAAGCATATTAGTGATTTTATATAAATTGTGAGTATTCTAATATAAATTCTGAGTCTAAGAAAATTGGGAGAAGAAAGTGGTAGGGTTAACCACATTTTGAGTAAATGACAATTTACCTACATAGAACACACAAATCATATGCTATTATGGCCAGAATTTACTGTGCATGCATTAATCAATTTCTAAGACAAATATGCATGTCTATATACATATTAATATACATGTTTACACATGTGAATTCATTTTCCAAATTATGTGTATAATATATTTATGTTATTTGATATATTATCTTGCATTTGCAAATGATGGGTTCCAAAATTAGATAGAGGAAAACTAGAAGTTGAAGTTAATAAATATATTTCTTTGCAGCTGACCACTATATACTAATTGATGCTTTTATCAATAGTTTTTCCATTTAATAGGGTTACAATTTTAGTAACTGCTTTACCTTTAGAGAGGACCTAGAGCCACCTTCAAAAAAAACAATTCTTAATTTTTGTCTCTGTAAAAAAAAAGGGAAGTTTTAATTTAAATAATAACCCTAAATGCTAAATGTGCAAATAATGAAAGATTGTGCTAACAATAGAAGATACATGCTTTTGAAGCCTGTACATTTTGAGGCATTGTGTTTCTAATATTTTTCTTTAGCCCCTCTCTCCATTTCTCCCTTTCTTCCTCTTTCACTTCCTTCCTCTTTCACTTCTTTTGTTTGGGCTGCCAATGGCACAGTCCTCCAAGAAGGCCAATCCTCCTGTGGAAGTAGCAGCTATGAGAATGAGGAAGACTTGAGCTGCAGTTCTGCTTCTGTCTCAAATAAGCTGTGGGTACCAACTGTCTCTGCTGAGACCTATCTATTGATATTACTCTCTTCTTCTTTGATTCAATAGCACTGAAATTAGACCAGCCATTCTGAACTTTTAGGGGGATCTTTTGAATGAAGTAAAATCTGTAGATCCTTTCCACTGAGGAAAAAAATGTATAATCACAAATGCACAATCATTTTGCACAGTCTCAGGTGAGTAAGAGCTTCTGAACAGGAAGGCAGCTAGTTTTAATATTCTATGATTTTCACTACTGTGGAGGGGATTGCAGGGGGACAAGTAAAGAAAGAACCCGTGTTCACATCCTTGTGCACTTAATGAAAACCTGTTTCTTACATGAACAGGTAGGGCAAAAAGATAGCTTCCATGAACCATAAGAGTTGCCTGAGAACTGTGCTCAAATGCTGGAAGAACAGAAACCAGACTCACAATGATTTATGGATCTCGTTGCACCTTTGGTTGGTCAAATGTGAATTTGTTTTTCTTCCTGCAATAATACAATAGATGCTTCTGACTACGTTTGGTAGTCATTTCTGAAGCATGGCAGGGATTAGTTTCAATCATTAGAGAGTATGCTTTCCATCTTGGCCATCATACAGGCATTTGTGGCGTTCAGGGTACTGCTATCTAAAAGTTCCTAGAAGGTCTTTTCACCTTTTTTAAATTAAGCATAATTTAACACCACAATCAAAAGTCTGATCATCATATTTCAGTATCTGAAATCACAATATATGCATTGAGCTTTATCTTTGCATTTAGAATTCAGTAAATCATATAAATTTTCAATCCTTAGAATATAATCCTAACATGATCTAGGAGTTTATAGATGATAATTAATTTATCTTTTTAACTTTTTTATAACCACCAGACAAAAGTCAAAGAGAAAATTTGGTATTTTAGCATAATTTATTTAAATTACCCTAAGGCAACAGCTGATATAAATCACATATTTAAAACAGCAATTATGATTACTTTGCTATGTCCCATAACAAGAGTAATAAACATATTATGGATTTTGACAAGCAGTTGGATCCTTTTACATAGAATGGTGATAAACCTCTTTGTTATCACAAATAACTATCTTGAGTTAGGGAGACAGTAACTTGCAAGTGAAATTTGAGGTGATAGTTTTTGATAAGAGCAATGAGAATAGTCTCTTAAATTTCAGGTAATTATGTATCTCAAGCCTTAATAATTGGCTTAATGAATGAATAAATGGCTCTTTGGAGTAACTGGATACTAGTTTGTTAAATGGTTCATGAGGTTATGTCTAGTTTTACTTTGTGGAGGATTGTAAGAGCACTTCTAAGTCCAAAAAAACACTTAAAAAATCCATTTTATTAATTCAAAAGAGGGCTGTAAAAGACATTGTGGATGTTAGAAAATAAAATTGTCTCTCATTAAAGCAGTTGTAGCAACAGCTCCAGACAAGGAACTGAAACAAAATGAATATATTGAGAGTGTTTTCCTTAGGAAGGCCGTACTTTTAAGGGAGAATAGATACATGAGGCTTAGTCTTTCAAAACTGTTGATTCCCAGAGAAATGTGGAACCTAGATGTCTAGCCCCTCCCTCTCAGTCACAGATTAGTATCCACTGCCTCTTCTTCATGCCACTTCATTCTGTTACCAAGTAAATGCAGCATCATTTAATAGAGAACTGATGTTAATAAAATTAGCCGGTCACACATTGAAGCATTTATTGAGATCCTCTGGTTGTACATTTCCAGATCACAGTCAAGAAAGAAAACAACCTGTAGACCAATGAGAAAGTGCATCAAAAGCTGCAGGGGCAGCACAATTTTTTCTAACATCATCTCTTCTGGGAAACATTACCCTCCTGTGCTCTTCCAGACCATTGATTCCATTCTGAAACCATAAAAAAGAGATTATAAATCAAGAGAAAGAGGTACTGGTAGAATACTATGAATGGTTTATAAGTTATTTTGTGAACAAAATTGAGACCATTAGAGCTGGTGAGCAGCTTTCTACCTCTAATCATTTTTTCCATTAACTAAGTTTTCCTTTTTTTCAATTTTTTTGCCTACTCTAGAGAGAGTGGTATGAATTTTGTAGCTGTATCATATAGTAGAATTCTAAAGCATCAAACAGGCAGTGCTTACCAATTGCTACCCACTTCATATGTCTTGCAAAGGTATCAATGCCTAACATAGGTAAACCTTCCTTCTGACATCTCAGAGTCTGAACCACTGGTTAAACTTCTCTAGTAAAAACAGAGAGATATAATGAAAGTGGTATGGGACTGAAAGTTAGTTGACCTGGGTTCCACTCTTAGCTCTTCTCGGTCATTGATATAGCCTTAAGAAAAGTTGTTTAATAAAATTGAGCCTCAATTTCCTTCTTAGTACAATGGTTAATATGATGGCATGGACATCTGATAGGATGTTTCACAGAAAATATAAGATTGCACAGGTGAATGTTTTAAAAACCTGGAAAACACTCTTGAATTTGAAAGCAAAGTATAGTATTTATTATTATTTATCCTTTTATTTTTTCCATAATCATTTCTACATTATTCTAAATTTCTACTGTCTCATTCCAATGAATCTTATGCATACGTTGAGATTATCATCTTATTTCTGGCTTGCTATGTTCCTATTTCTTGGTTGTTACGGGCATCATCTGTTTCTGCCAACCAGCAGACACATCCTCTTCTGGGCAATGGTTTCTCAATTTCTTTCTGGAACTAGCCATTCCTTACCGTGAGTCCATCCGTTCATATGTTTCCAGAGGTCCTGACTTTACCTCAGAAAACAAATGAAATGAATTAGATATAAGCCAATCAGTGTTACATTTCCTCAGCTTCAAATGTTAGTTCAGGAACTGGCCTGCAATAAAATTTTAGCTGAAAATGCTGGAAACATTCTCTTGCTTTTTTGCTACTTGATATCAACTGGAAAGCATGTACCGCTGAGAACTAACAGCCATTCTGTGACTAAACTCAACACATGTCTGAGAGTGAAGTCTCCACAGTTTGTAGACCCAAGACATGAAAGACAAAAATCAGATATTCCTGAAATGGTTTAAAACCCTACATCAAGCTGTGACTGAATGCATACATGCTCCAGTATTGTTCTGTGATCCAGTGACTTTTTTTCCTTTCTACAAGTCACCTGTGGTTTTGTTTTATGTTATTTGCAAAGAAAATAACTCAAATACAAAAACTATGATTGTTTGAAATAGATAATATTTATTGTTTCTGTTGTCAAGCATTCACATAAGACCTTTACACACAGAAAACTCACTTAATCCTCCCATACAGCTCTCTGTATTATTTTTATGCCCAGATTGAAAATGAGAGAATTGAGATGCAATTTCTCAAAGTCACACAATTAGTATGGGGAGGATCCAGTATTCAAACACAGAAACCATACCATTTTGTATGCAATAAGGATTCTATTTTCTAATGAAAATATTCTTAACAACACACAATCAAGGAACAAGAAAATTATTGTGTAATTGAAATTCTTAGACAATCTTGAATATTTTAACTATTTCAGCTCTGCCCTGGATCACATCCCCGTTATGCAGGCCTGTGGAAACCAAGAAAAGAGAGACTTGATGCAAATTTCAATTTCACTTTGTTTTTCACTAGTTTAATCCAATCTGCTCTTCAGAAAATTGACCTGAGGACAGAGATTGGGCTAGTGAAAAACAAGTGAAATTGACATTTTTCCTAGGTAGCAAGTAGAGGGAGAAATTTTCTTCTGCTTACACTCATGGATTCTACTATATATAGCTTGGCCCTGAGAGTATCTCCTACCCTAGCTCCCACCGAGACACTTAACTATTCCCCCTCAATGTTCTCAGCCATCCTCTGCTCCCAACTGCTGACCAGAGGAGTTCCTGTGGCTAATAACCCAGAAAAGGGCACAGAAGGAGAGCTAGCTGCTTGGTATCTTGTGGAAACTTACAGAATCAGAAGAAGAGAATGGGGTTATAATCAAAAGTCACAAATTCCTGCCAGTGTGATTCTTGTGGACTATTAAAATAACTAGAACTTTATGCTACTTCATTAGGACACTTTAAAAAAAAGTTTCAGGCCTTGTTTTATGCAGGGCACACCACTTGGAATCATGGCTCAGCTCTCCCAAACTAGTTATAAATGTGCAGCATAGTCCGACAGGGTTCACTTCTTTGTTCCCAGGTGGTTACATATCATCACTCAAAGGAATCACTTAAGATAACATTGATATATGAATTATTTTTCCCTGACCAAAAGGAAGCTCTTTCCAGTCAATTGACACTCAGTCTTGAGTGTCTGAATGTCTTGCAGTTAAATTGTTAGAAAATGACATTGAAAGTGGGAAAGGTTTTTTTCTCATTTGCCTCTCTTCTAACTTTAATACACTAAAGGTATTTTTCAGTTACTTCATAGACTTGAAATAAATGCTTAACAGAAATTGTCATTAAAAATTCTGAATAATTTTCAAAGTCAAATTCTAACTCTAATGCTCATCATAACTCCATTTTAAAAAACAATAGTAATTCTCACTGTCTTCTTTTCTGAAGCACAAAACCACCGCTGTCTTCAAGAGGAGAATGAGACACTAATTCATGTCCCTATTACATCTTGGCTGGATTACTGCAGTTCATTATAGACTTTCTTGCCTGTTTACTTAGGCAATAAATCTTGTCATTACATATACTACATCTCTCAGGTTCAAGACAACTGCACAAAGGCTGTATTGCTATTATAAACCTTTAATTTAAAAATCCATAATTGAAGAAGGGCAAATATGTGGTTGAGGCTTCAAGCATTGGTCATTTGGAGGCACTCCAACATTAAACTGCATTTGCTCCAAGTAATAATTTCAGAGGTACGACAAGCAGCGGTGATGACACCATGGGTCTAAATAGAGCCAAATCTGTAAGAGACAATGTTGTCTCATATCTAGAGCCTCATAACTCTGCTTCCACCTATTAACACTGGTAGGACCCTTTTGCCATGATCAAAACAAAAGCTGCAAAAATCAAGTACAAAGGTTTAGCAGATAAGAGGCACAAACAAATACTTTGTCAACCCTTCAATGCTGATGTTTGTTCCTTTGGAATTTTTCAATTTCACCCAACTTTTATTCTGAAAACTAATGAGGAGTTGTTATTTAAAAAATCAAACCCTCATACCTTTTATGTTCTCCAGACATCTTTCAAAGTGAATATTAAAAATAGCTACTATATACCTAGTGTTTATTAAGTGTTGGACACACTGCTAAGTACTTTACTCACATCTCTGCAAAAGTCCTTAAAATGGCGTGGGTGTCGGGGGAACCACATTATTTAAAATATAATTGCATTAACTATGAATTTAAATTATTAGTTTACTAATAAGTAGATTAATAAATTAATTTGTTATCTGGTGCTGAAATTGAGATCAAATTTAGATAACACATCTATCTAATCTTAAAACTGCACCATAATCATTGATGTTGTTTTCAAACACACATGTACAATTTTACACTATTTCCATTTGTTAAATCCTTGAATTGACTTGATTGTTCCAGAGGAATTGCTCTTCAGTTCTCTTTCCTCAAAATCATTCCTACTGTCTCTAGGTAATTTAATTTCTCCTTCTTTAAGTTTTAACTTGTATCTCTTCAACTGCAGCTCCTAAATTCATATCTCTAATCTCTCTTCTGTCTTCCAGAATCATGTTGCCAACTTTTTTTTTTGATCTTTTGTTTTTAATATTTTACTTTGAAATAATTTTAAACTTACTAAGAGTTTCAAAGATAATATAGATAGGCCACAGGTACCCTTTACCCACTTTCCTCCAATGTTGACATCTTTTCTATCTATTATCACATTAGTAGTTATCACAATTCAAAAACTAGCATTGGTGGCTGGACATAGTGGCTCAAATCTGTAATCCTAGCACTTTGGGAGGCCAAGGCAAGAGGATCACTTGAGTCCAGGCATTCAAGACCACTTTGGGTAACATCTCTACAACAAATACAAAAATTATCCTGATGTGGTATTCACCTATAGTCCCAGCTGTTTAGGAGGCTGAGGCAGGAGGATAGATTGAGCCCAAGAAGGTCAAGGCTGCATTGAGTTATGATTATGCCACTGTATTACAGCCTGGGCAACAGAGTGAGATCCTGTTTCGAAGAAGGAGGAGGAGGAGAAGGAGGAGAAAGAAATTAGCATTTGCAAAACTCGTAACTAAACTACAGACATTTTTTTTTTTTTTTTTTTTGGATTTCTTTTGTTTTCCATGGATGTCTTTTCTTTGTAGAAGGATCCAATCCCAGACATCGCTTTGCATTTAGTCTCTTCTGGTGTGTGACAGCTTCTTAATCTTTAAGTTTTTCATGACCTTCAAAGTTGTAATCAATTACATTGTTTTTGTCTGATGTTTTCTCATGATTAGATTGATGTTATGGATATTTGGAAAGAATACAAAAGAAAGAATTTTCTTTCTCGTTTCCTCTTATGTCTCATTATTTGTAACATTAACCTTGGCAACTTGGTTAAGGAAGTGTCTTCCAGGTTTCTCCAATATGAAATTAGTTTTTTTTTCTTTTTCGAGATGGAGTCTTGCTTTGTTGCCCAGGCTGGAGTGCAATGATGTGGTCTTGGCTCAAGCAACCTCAACCTCCCAGGTTCAAGTGATTCTCCTGCCTCAGCCTCTCAAGTAACTGGGACTATGGCATGCACCACCACACCTGGCTAATTTTTGTATTTTTAGTAGAGATGGGGTTTCATTGTGTTGGTCAGGCTGGTCTCAAATTTCTGACCTCATGATCCACCTGCATCAGCCTCTCAGAGTGCTGGGATTATAGATGTGATCCCCTCTGCCCAGGGAAGTTACCGTTTATACCCTCCATGCTCCATTTTTAAAAATTGAGTCCCTAAGTCCAGTACACACAAAAAAGGAGATAAATTAAGTTTTAATTCTTGGAGACCTGTGAGAATATTTTTCAACATGTTAGTAAAAGCAGACCAGAAATCAGATTAAGATGGCAGATAGAAGGGAGGGCTAGCTTGAAGCTCCCACTCGGACAGATGGAGCAGTATGTGAAGACTCACATCATGAACTTCTGCTCAAGAACTACTTCAGGAACATAAGAGGAAAGTGGAAAGAATCCACAGTCCCTTGGAAGGAATTGGATCACCCCGGCAGGCTTCCTGAGATGCCAAAACAATGTGAATTTGCTTGCTTTCTCAATGGGAAGATTCCTGGTCTGGGGCAAGTTCCCAGCACTGGTTACCGGCTGCCTGGAAAGAGGCTGAGTGTTGTTGGGGGTGGATGGTGGAAGTGAGAT